GACAAATAGTAGTCACCTCTAATGACGTTCATTGCCATGTGCAAAGTGTATGTGTCCGCAGCTGCAGTAGCGCTCAAATGTGCACAGGAACATTGCTATAATGTTTGCAGCACTCGCTCGATACCAGTATGCTGCCGTAGCGAAATACGTTTTCAGCGGGAGAAAACTACCAGAAGTGAGAGGAGGAGCGCTAACTAAATGGCGCGTTTGGTTATGGCTAGGCGCATGGCTGGCCACGAGGGGGAGCATGAACATAAAACCGGGTGAATACCCTTTAGCTCCGTTCTCGTGCATTTCTGACATGAGAAAGTGGCACGTTTCTGCAGCTCCGTACCCATTCACTTTATACAAAACAAGAAGTTGGGTCCAAGAAGGTGGTACACTTTGTCTTCAGTTTTCAAATCTTGACTGAAGGAAACCTCTCTATCTCTCCTTCTTTCAGCCAGCCCATCGCTGCAAGGTGTTCGATCTCTGCTACACAAATGATGATTGCCCCGGTGGATCGTGCTTGGGGACATTTGTTGGTAGATGCAATTGCATGAGTTGCAGAAATTTCTTCAGGTATCCAATAGCTCATTGAGGGAGAGCATGATCTCATGTGTGTACTTACAGCTGTAAAACGGACGCCGATTGTGGAGGACTCAAGGGCTCTTGCAGTGATCTGCACTTCTGCGATTGTAACGAGGTAAATACTGTGTTATACATTTGGATGGTCGTAGCTCTACTGAACAGCTTCTCCGTTGTCATCTGGGTGAAAACTGTAATCACTCTAATGCAGGGTTCGGTCAAGGCCACGAAACCCGCGTTTGTAATGAATCCAATAAATTCCTTTGTGATCACGGTTAGTGAAGCTCCTTGAGCTGCGTACCTTGTAGCGGCCATTCTGCAGTTCTGCGTCAGCGCTATCATATCCTACAACTATCAAGGGGTTGGAAGCTCTGGGATGAATGAAACTCTTATGATTCGTGAAAAACTGGGATGTCCGGAATGGCTCACCCACATTGGGCCCCCTCACACTTTGAAATCGCAGATACAGCGATGAGGAAAGTTGCAGGCTGGCCCTTAGCGGCGAAGCCTTTCAGAATTTTGTGACCTTATTGACTTCATTTCACTAACTCTTCTAGGGTTTGAAAAAGGCTGGGTATCCATTCTTCCTCGACGCCTTGTTGAAAT